ACAATGCCCTTGGATTTTGGTGCATTAACACATTGGGATTTGCATAAAAATGCATAAAATAAAGATTTCAAATGTCCTTGGGTTTTTGATGCATTAACTCTATCCTTAAACCAAAGGTTATGTATTTATTTAAGAAAGCTGTGAACGTGACTACATTTGCATCAGAACTAGGATTTGCATTCACTGTTGTGCCTTCAAGCCATTTTCAACATATGGCAACCCTAAGGCAAACAGATCACAGGGTTGTCTTGGCAATTTGTTCACAGGTAGTTTTGCCTTTTAGCCTTCTTCTGAAGCGGATTGAGAGTGATTGTCCCAAAATCAGGGAGAGTTTCCAAGGCCAAGCACAGATTCAAATCCTGGTCTCCAGGATCCTAGTTCAACACTTAAACCATTACACCACATTTGGATTCATTGGGTGTTATTTAATCGGTTTCCCTATTTTGGAGTAGGAAGAAATGTATAACAATTAGGTATTTCATGATTTTAGTATACTCAGTTGGCTCTAGCAGTTCCCACACCCAAGATCAGAGAAAGAACTATAACATTCTTTCAAGGATTGCTTTTGGTCTTTGTGAATGGGAAATCATGTACAATACAAAGGATTAGTGATTTAGATCAGAGGCAAGGCTGTGTCTTTCATCACTTGGTATATCCTTCATAGAATCATAGAATCATAGAATCAAAGAGTTGGAAGAGACCTCATGGGCCATCCAGTCCAACCCCCTGCCAAGGAGCAGGAATATTGCATTCAAATCACACCTGACAGATGGCCATCCAGCCTCTGAATCATATTCTATCTTCACTTTTTTACCCTGAGGTGATTTGGGGTGTGGAGCAAAGTTGTGGGGAAGGGGTGTCCCAACAATTTTAGAGAAGTCTAACATCCCCTGGTGGCACAGCAGGTTAAACCGCTGAGCTGCTGAACTTGCTGACCAAAAGATTGGCAGTTCAAATCCGGGGAGCAGGGTGAGCTCCCACTGTTAGCCCAGCTCCTGACAACCTAGAAGTTTGAAAACATGCAAATGTAAGTAGATCAATAGGTATCACTTCTGCAGGAAGGTAATGGCGCTCCATGCAGTCATGCTGACCACATGACCTTAGAGGTATCTACGGACAATGCTGGCTCTTTGGTTTAGAAATGGAGATGAGTGCCAGCCCCTAGAGTTGGTCATGACTAGACTTAACGTCATGGGAAACCTTTACCTTTACCTTGACCTTCCTTATAGCTCTCTGTTTCTCATTTTTGGCTCTCCAGCTTCTCAGAACCAACAGTCTGAAGCTAAGCCTATTTTAATAGGCAGAAGAGCAGACAGGCTGTCTGAAAAGAAGAAATCCTTACTATATTTTCTAGTATTTTACGATCCACTTGCATTTCATAAATGTTAGATAGAACTTATTTCTGAAATGCCACGATTCAATTTTCATATGATGAGCAGTGAAAATCAGCAGCTGTTCCATTTCTTCATATGGTATAATTCCTTTGCTGTCTGTCATAGCGAAAGGGATGGAGCGCGTCTTACAGTTGCTGCCTCCAAAAATGGACTTTCTGATGTTCTCTGTCTGTCACAGCACAGCTCAGGATCGTGATGTTATCATCTCCAGTCCCTTCTCCATGTGAAATGGACATTGAGTGCATTAGGAAGATGCAAAATCTAATTATTCTATTTCCCAAAGGGAAAAAAAACATCTACACTATGGTGGGAGGAAGGTACATTGCCGCATCAGTACCGCAATAATGTCATAAACCACAAACACATCAGGTCAACAGAAAACAATATAATTTACTATTAGAGAATATACTGATTGCTACCATCTTGGATGTTGCTGTTGTTGTGTGTCTTCAAGTCATTTATGATTCATTATGATGCGAAGTTCAACCTATTGTAGTTTTCTTAGCAAGATTTGTTCAGGGAGAGTTGCCTTTGCTTTCCTCCAAGACTGAGAAAGTGTGACTTGTATTAGGTCACTCAGTAGGTTTTCATGGCAGAATGCGGTTGCAAGCCCTGTTCTTCAGAGTCATAGTCCATAGTCAAACTATTGCATTAAGATGAATCTCTTGGATGGTTTGACTTCAAAATCTAATTTGTGGAGGACAAATGACTATTAATCATGATGGCTTCCATAATTCCTCTGGGGTCAGAGAAATTACTGGGAACATGAGAGGGAGAGTGCCATTGACCATTCATCCTGAATGTGGCATTCATTCTTCAAGACTTCTGGCTGTCGCTGTGAGAACAGAATACTGGAGTAGAGAAGTCTTTGGTGCTCCAGAATTGCACTAATTATATCTTTGTTATCATGTCAACTTCAGCTTATGAATGAGAAGCCTCCAAGAGTCATCTATTCCTAGTTGAGTCCATCTACCTCGAGTTGTTATGCTTATATTAATATATTATGCCTAGCTTGTGTTCATATCCTATGCACTTCTCTTTCTTTGTATTTATTCTTTTAAAATCCAAAATATTTGGGCCACTATACATGTGAAATCAGTTTGTTTCATATTGTAGATCCCTGAGACATCTCTGGAAAGCTTAGTATTACTGTAAGCCTCTTCTTAATTTTGAAACTGCTTGATTTTATTCATAATTACTATTCTTTCTATGTGACAGCCGACAGGGAGCTCTGGCGTGGACTGGTCCATGAGGTCACGAAGAGTCGGAAACGACTGAACAAATGAACAACAACAAACTATTCTTTCTATTCAGATCCATATATTATTGTTTTCATATTTTTTAAAGCAAACTTGTAAGCAGTTCCGTTTCCAAAGATGGCCTGAAAAATCATTTTCAATAAATAAATTAATAAATATGAAGTCTAGGGATTTGCATTTGAAAGGGATTATTTTCTCTCTGAATACCAGTTGTTTTGGAATCAGTTTGAATATTTGGGAGCAACCCCTGGAAAATATGCATGTTCCATCTTTTGTTTAAAAGTAAGGTAAACATACAAACAGAAGCACAATCACCAGCCTCATTATTATTTATAACCTGCTTTCTCCCCTCAGAATACATCTCCAAGGTGGCTTACAACGCAAAAGCAAATACAATATAGATACAAACATGAAAAAGATGCATTATTTTTCAGTACAACCCATGTATCCATGTGCATACATTCCTGAACTGACTGGAAACAGGGAATGGTGGACAAGAGGGAAACATATTGAAATGAATCATTTTTGCTGATATTTAACAGAGTTGCCCTAGAGAAAATGTATCCTGTCCAAGAATCTATTAGATCCTCCAGGGCAGTGGTTCTCAACCTGTGGGTCCCCAGGTGTTTTGGGCTACAACTCCCAGAAATGCCTGCCAGTTTAACAGATGTTTAGTTTTCTGGGAGCTACAGGTTCTGGACCCACAGGTTGAGAACCACTGCTCCATGGAGACTTCCAATGGAAGCATACCATACAATTGTTGAGAGGACTAAGAAAATTCCTAGAGAGGATATATTTATCTGGATGCAGGTAGATGAAACTTCAGGTACTGTTCACGCAGATACAGTACAACCATATAACTGTATCCATGATTTAAAAATTAAAAAGTTAAAAAGTAACTAAAAAGCAATACAACAGAAGACTACCTCTTTTACTGATATTGAACCTATGCCTTGCTGTATAAAAGTCACAGCAAATTAGGAGACAAAGCTCTATATAGATAGTCACTTGCTTTGCTTTTAGAAGCCCATATCAACATCGGCTGAAAGATGAATTACACCTAGCTCCAAAAGACAAGAGTTCTTTCTCCCACCCTGGACCTTCCACAGATATAAACCCAATTTTCCTAGTTTCCAACAAACCTCACAACCTCTGAGGTTGCTTGCCACAGATGCAGGCAAAATGTCAGGAGAGAATGCTTCTAGAACTTGGCCATACAGCCTGAAAAACCTACAACAACCCAGTGATTCCGGCCATGAAAGCCTTCGACAATATACACAGGTCACTCAACTTAGTCAGTCAGTCAGTTTCCCATAAACCTCTAGCCTTCTTTAAGGGTTAGGAAGGGCAAGAAAAAACAAATCAGAACAAAAAAAACATTCTACAGACTGATAATATAATGAGGAATGTTTTTCATCAGCTTGGGATGTATGAGCTAGAAATACATCGACATAATACATCTGATAGTGAAATACATCCACAAAATCCCAGGCCACACCAGTTTACAGTCAGCTTTCCACATTCACTGGGGTTAGGGTGCACAGTACCCCCATAAATGTGAAAGGCAGCAAAAAAAATCCCCTGAGAGAACACCTTTTGAGGGATTTCTAGATCTTCCGGTGTGACTCAATGGTCAACACCTGCTGGAAGATGAACACAGAACCAAATTAGAGACTCGTGGCTAAATGTGGTGCTCCTGAGGGCATTCTGGATGCCCTCATGTATTTTAAAAAAACTTAAACTAAGAAAGGGGGCACCAGAACACATCTGGGTAGTCCCTTGCTGTGAACTAGATACAGGAACATTATCAGGAAGGAAGTGAGGACAAAGAAGCAGCTTCCACCACCTTGCGTCTCCTCCCTCCCCCCCAAACTATGGCACTAAATATAATATTGTTGCTGTGTACCTGCAAATCACTTCTGACATCACAACCCTATGCCAAACCTATCCTGGGGCTTTCTGGGGATGGAGGTGTGTGACTCACCCAAGGTCACCCAGTGGACTTCCATCATTGACTGGGGAATCAAAATCTAGTTTCTGGAGTTGTTGTCCAACCCTCAAAACACTACACCATTCTGGCTCTTTATGCTGGAGCAGCTTCCAGTGCTCCAGTGTTAAGTATACTGGCAGAAAAATAGGCTCTATTACCATGTTTACTTGACCAAGCTCTTACTTGAATTACCAAGACAGAAAAAAAAACCCAGCAACAATACAATACAAGATAGAGCAAGTTGTTCCAATAAAGATGGCTCTTCTTTATAGAGGAACACCAAGCTTGAAAGCATGCTGTAATGCCTAACTGAAAGCAGAGGTGAAGTGTGCTTAATACTGAACAACAAGCTCTTACCTATTAATAGAGAATGGAGTAATGGATTTGATCAGAGCTGCCTTTGCTCCCACTTTAGCAGCTTCCAGGGCTCCACGACCTCTGTACAGCACAGTTTCTCCATAGTTAACGTAACGCTGGTTGTAAACAACAATCTTCCCCTGGGCTTCTTGAGCTCTTTGGTGGAGTTCATCAAAAGAAGTTACCACTAAGACCTCGGCTGTAATGCCTGGCAATGAAAAGTCCACACAGTTATGGAGAGACTTGGCTTGAGAAATTTTAGTGCATAGTCCCTATTATACTTCTGATAATTACAGCAAGGACATTATGCACCAGAACATGCCCTGCTATTTGCAAAAAAGAGGGAAAACATCATTAGTAGACCACAATCTGAACACAAATCAACAGTGTGATGTACCTGCTAAAACAGCCAAATCAATTATATGCTGCATCAATTGGAGTATAGTGTCTAGATCAAAGGAAGTCATAGCCCCATTCTATTCTGCTTTGGTCAGACTTCACCTGGAATAATACTGTGTTCTGGACACACAATTCAAGGAGGATATTGACAAACAAGAATGTGTCTAGAGAAGTGAGACCAAAATGATAAAAGGCCTGGAAGCCATGCTCTTTAAGGCATGGCTTAGAGAACTAAGAAAGGTTAAGAAGGGACATGATAACCATATTTGAAAGGATGTCATATTGAGGAGGGTGAAAGCTTGTTTTCTGCTAGTCCAGAGATTAGGAATTTTTTTTTGGCTTTGTGCTGTTTTTATACTATATGCTAAATGTTTTAATATTATTTAACTGTTCAAATTGTTTTTAATTGTTGTGACATTAAATTGTTGCCAACTGTGAACCGCCTGGAGTCGCCTCTGGGCTGGGAAAGGCGTTATACAAATATGGTAAATAAATAAATAAACAAACAAATAAATAATAGGACATAGAGCAATGGATTCCAACAACTGAAAAAGAGATTCCACCTAAACATCAAAAGGATTTCCTGATAGGAAGAGCCTCCTTCTCTGGAGGTTTTTAAACAGAGACTAGGTAACAATTTGTTAGGAGTAATTTGATTGTGTGTTCCAGCATTTGATTATGTGTTTCAGTAATTTGATTGTGTATGTTTATCAGGCGTGCACACCATGGACTGAACATAGCAGAATAATCACAGGATGTCTCAAACCTACACCTGTTGATAAACTCTACAAGCTAGCAGGCATCCCCCCACCCTCCAGTATGGAATGGGAAGTAACTGCTAACTGTGAGAGAAATAAGGTTGAACACTGTGAAAGTCACCCACTGCATGGTGATCAGCCTCCTCCCAGTAGATTCAAATCAAGAAAAAGCTTCATGAGAACCACCACTCCACTTAACATTCCCCCAGCAACAGCAAGATTGTCCCTCTGGGCAGCTAAACCAGGAAATCCCAATTAGATCCCGCCCCCCTCCACAAGGGTCTGGCTCCAGGGGCAAAGCAATAATGAGCAGCTTGGAAATCCCTGATAAGGCTCAGAAGTGGAGTGGGCAGTTCAAAAGACAACCTGGCAAAATGGCACTACCTAAACGAATCCTCTACCTTGTGCAACTGTGGAGCAGAACAGACAACTCCACATCTGTATGCTTGCCCACAATGTCCTGCCTTATGTACAGAGGAAGAATTGTTTGAGGCTACAAACAATGCGGTCACTGTTGCTCATTTTTGGTCAAAAGATACTTACCCACTTGTGCTCCTTCTATTTTTATCAGTTTTATACTAATTTATGCAATCTTTTTGATACAAAATAAACAAACAAATAAATAAATAAATAAATAACCATGGATTGTCCATGAGTGTCTTCCAACTATGATTTTATGATTATTAAAAGAAAACCTAAGTTTACATAAAATGACCACATGTGTGACACAGGAGACATCCTGGTTTTTGCACAATCCCTGTTAATTTCATCGAGATCTGTGTATATATTATTCTTTACTGGACTTATGAACTTATAGTTCAGATGTACACTGTTTCCATTACTGTTGACCAAAATACCACCCCCAAATTCACAGTCTGGAATCTGATATCTTTCCTCAAGAAAGAACTCCCACCTCTGGAACTCCTATCCTAACAGATATGTGGATAAGAGGATGAATCCACAGGAGAGCATTCCCCTCCTAAATAAGAATCCTGATTCCCCAATGATACCTTCCAACATGTGAAAGATGATAGCGAGGCACGTGTGACCAAGCAACTTTAGTGTGATCAAGATGGGAAATTATTAATAATAACAAAGAACACACATGCCAAGAGAGGAAGCAGAAGTCTGTTTAGGCAAATCTTACTGAGGGGGAGCCCACATGCTTTCTCTCCTCTTTCTTCCCTGTGAAATTATTAAATGCCAACTACTTTTGCACTTTGAACTTGGTCTGCAACAACTGAAGCATGCTGAGAACAAAAGAGGAAAATAGGAAGAGGAAAGAGATAGTAGTATTTTAGTAGTAGTAGTAGTAACTCAAAAGAGGGAGGATTGCAGAGTATTATTCAAGACTATATTTGCCAAATCAGTAGAGTTGGAGGGTGTAAAGTATACTATTTCAGTGAGTGAGACCTTGCAATCATTCACATCTGAAGCTGACAAAAGGAGGAAAAATGTGGAACATGCTTTTTTTCCTCCTAGGATGGCCAGTCTGCTACATGTAATGGTTGATTAATCGGTCTAATCCAGTGGTTCTCAACCTGTGGGTCACCAGACATTTTGGCCTTCAGTTCCCAGAAATCCTAACAGCTGATAAACTGACTGGGATTTCTGGGAGTTGTAGGACAAAACACCTGCAGACCCACAGGTTGAGAACCACTGCTCTAATGAAGATTCTCTTTCAGAGATCCAAAATATTACTTCTGTGTACTACATCACCCAGAATCCCCTAATGATACAGCTGCTGGATTCTTGGTGTTTTGTATTTTTTAAAAATTCCAAATTCTTATATTTTAGAGAAGAGTATTCCCAAAATACACTGCCCCCAGTAGCATAGTGGATTAAAGCGCTGAGTTGCTGAACTGCTGACCAAAAGGTCACGGGTTCGAATCCGAGAAGCGGCATGAGCTCCCGCTGTTAGTCCCAGCTTCTACCAACCTAGCAGTTCGAAAACATGCAAATGTGAGTAATTCAATAGGTACCACTCCAGCAGAAAGGTAACGGTACTCCATGCAGTCATGCTGGCCACATGACCTGACCAGCTCTTCGTTTTGGAAATGGAGATGAGCACCAACCCACAGAGTCGAGACATGACTGGACTTAATGTCAGGGGAAAACCTTTACCCTTAACCTATTCCCAAAAGAGCAGTCCATATGAGTGCATAAGTCAGCACACATCTTTCTTTGTCAGGCCTGCCACCCTCAAAGTTCAATGAAGAATGAAAACTGATATTATGGACCTTAAGATGTGGACTGGACAGCCACCATTATTCCCATTTAAAAAAAAACATATATGCTTCACATGTTTTCCAAGAATTCATATTATATGTTTTGCCTGGCTGCTGAGTAACTTGGAACATTATTTCAAAAAGGGCACAGTCTATGGGCAAATTCTGTTTCAAGAGACCAATTCAAACTGAATCCAATATATTTTATATACATACGAGAAGTTTGGGTATGCTCCCCCCATTTTTCTTTTTACTTCAGTTAAATCTGAAAGTGATTTATATAAATACATAATCAGTGGTCTGGCTACAGAAATTCCTTTCAGTAGGATTCTTTTCCTCTTTTCTGAATTTTCAGTACAAATAAACACTACAGCAAAAGCAAGTTAAAAACTTGCACACACCTTATAATATAAACATTTTTCTCTCTGCTGGCCCTGCAGTCTTGCCTGGGAGAATGAATAAATGTTTATAGGTAACAGTGGTAACCAGAAGGGTTTTCTCCCCTTTTAGTCCAATGTATGTTTTCATTGGACATTTATTCGGGAACCACATGTCCTGCCATTTGTGTATGTGTTTTTACAAAATCATTTACAAGAGAACCAGAATGCTTAAGACCCAGTCTTGTGGGTTAGTTACAAAGGTAAATGGAAAAGTGTTTAACAACTGGAGCAAGATCTGGCTGCTAAATATAGAAGCCCTAACGGAGGTCTGGTATTCCACCATTATGCATTTCACCCAGGAGCCACTAAGCACGTCAGTAAAAGCTAAACACAGATGCAAAGACTAGCAACAGTCCCTCTCCCTGACTCTCTGTTGCCCAAATTAGTTTGTTCTACAAGACTAGAAAGAATGTTTTTCAGAATGTTGCTGTCACTGCCATCTTATCTGCTTGAGTATAATGCAGGCCATATCCAAAGTAATTTGAAGCCATATGGACAATACTATGAGCCAATGTCCTGGTGTGGCCTGAGTATTGTACAACAATCCCAGAAGAATAAAATCTCTCATTAGCCATAGAAACCCTTGGGGGACTAGAATAATAGAATCATAGAGTTCGAAGAGACCTCATGGGCCATCCAGTCCAACCCCCTGCCAAGAAGCAGGAATATTGTATTCAAAACACCCCTGACAGATGGCCATCCAGCCTCTGGATGGGCATCTCACATTCTCTCTTTTTCTCAGAGGAAGGCAAAGGCAAACCCACTCTGAACTAATCTTGCCCAAAAAATCCCATTACATCACTTTAACTGCAATGGTTCCTTAAGGTTGCCATAAATAGGAAATGACCCAATGGCACACAACAACAAAGGCAATACTAGTACCCATGAAAGTACAGTTTGCACTCCATATTTCAGAAGTGAACTTTTGTGGATTTTATTATTCATGGATTTGATTAATATGTTTTCTCCTGGAATCGCTAGGTCCTCCAGTGTGAATCTATGGAAAACATCTGGTCAACCTTGACCACAGAGTTGGTAGGTCATTTGTGTTTCATAGTCACTTATCCTAAAGGTGATTAAATACACAATGGAACATGTAGAACTGTCAGAAAACAAGGGTGGCACTATCTCAAGTCAACTGAGTGGACAATTATTTTGGATTTTTTTTATTTCGGCAACCTGGATAAGAGATATTCAACCTGTGATAGGAGGGGAGGGGAGAGAGAAAAAAGAAGAGGAGGAGGAGGAAAGAGAAGAGGAAGACAAGGAGGAAAAAGTGGGCAAAGTCTAACAGCATAGCTGTACTTGACATCCAAATGTACTTTAAAGATGAAGAGAGAACTGGCACCTGAAACCTATCCATCAACAGTTAGCAGCTGCAATCCAGCATGGCTCAGAATTTCGTAGTAGATTTTGCAGACTTTCATTACGTTGAGTCATAAATGACCCACTTTTTTATTTCATGTCAAAAGCATCCCATAAAATAGTTTATCTAAAACTGACAAAAGTTTATCTAAAACTGATAAAATAAAAGGATCATAAGCTGCTAGCTAGATTTAGACCCAAAACGGGCAACAGCAACAGCATTGTCTGTAGCCTCCAGCAGTTCTTCCTCTGTACATGAGGAAGGGCATAGTGGATAAGCACACAGAGGTGGAGTGGTTTGTTCTGCTCCACAGTTGCACAAGGTGGAGGATTCTTCTAGGTAGTGCCATTTTGCCAGGTTGTCTTTTGATCTGCCCACTCCACTTCTAAGTCTGTTCAGGGACTTCCAAGTTGCCCATTCTTGTTTTGCCCCTGGAAGAAGACCCTTGTAGGGGGCCATCCAGTTGGAATTGCCTGATTTTGTTGCCCACAGGGATATTCTTACTGCTGCTGCTGGAGGAACATTTAGAGGAGTTGTGGCTCTCATGAAACTTTTCCTTGATTTAAGTCTACTGGAAGGAGGCTAATGCCGATATAGTGGGTGGCTTTCACAATGTTCAACCTTATTTCTCTTGCAACAACCCACTGTACACTTACCAGTCAATCTCTGAAGACCCCTCCACCCTGCATGGAGAATTGGTGCCTAATGGGGAATGGGCAAGATCAAAGAAGCCACTGGTGGCTATATCCTTGTAGCCACTAGTCAGGTGTAAATGATTACAATAGCACTGAGATCCATCAGCATCCTGTATCAAAGGTCTCAGTGCTGCTGTTATCATTTTGCATCTGGTTACACAAAGATAACCATATGCTTCTCTGATCTTGTATGCTCCCCATGATGCACACTGGCTATGAGGGGTGGGGAACTGGACGCAGTGGAGTAGGAAAGTGAATACCAATATCAAAGCACCCCAAAAAGGACATAAACAGAGGTAAGGTAGTCTATGCATACACTACTGAAATGATACCAGTCAGCATCTGCACTGCAAACTGAACAGGTATTTGGGTCACTTGGGTCTCATGTTCTGTAGTTCTATTCAATCATAATATCTACATAAATAAATTAAATATGAAAAATTAAGCCTAATCTTCATCCCACTCCTGTTATTAGTAGCGATAGGGATGTGGTCATCCTTAATACTGAGCAGATATAGTGGCCAGGGCATGACAGCAATTATCAAAAATTCCATTTGTGAAAGGTAAAAACATCCATCTCCCTCAGGGCTGGAGCATTTTTTTTCCCCTAAATGAAATCACACAAATTGGCTCCCTATTAAACATTTATTTTATATATACATACAGAGAAGTGACTGCTTCTGCCTACCTCCAGAAATATAAAAATCAAAAGGGATTGTGGGTGGATTCTGGAAATAGATAAGAAAGATGAGAATAGTCTAATTGGCTGACTGTCCGGGCTTCCAACTCTCTCCACCCTATCGATGCCAAATATGCCACATTTGAGTACTGAGTGCAAAATCTACTGCTGTTCCTGTTGGCAAGTAAGGGAGGTGAACTGCTATACTCCAGCCGCTCCTAATGAAGAAGAGCTCCATTTGCAAGCCTAAGAAATGTCTTGGTGACAGGATCATCCAAAGGGCTGGAATTATGCCCGTGGAAATGAAAGCCAGCTCTCCGCAAATTCTCATTTTCCACTAGAAAAATCAAGGTCTCTGCAGGCTGGCACAGCAATCTACATGACATATCAGCTCCGGTAACAGATGAGCAGAATTGGCACCGGGTAATTCATCCCAGTACGCCATTTATGCACTGCATCAAACGATAAAACATAATAACATACGCTCATGATTGCTCATCAAGGAAAGGAAGAACAGTAGCTAGTCTTGACAGCTTCTTGTGCATTAATGAAAAACGCCACCTACGAGGAGGTCTCAAGATGCTGGATCCCTTTTATAACCTCTGCCAGCTTTGAAATCTCTTCCAAAGCTGATTTTCTAAGGCTACACTAAACTCCCTAAGAGCAGAAAAAAGAGAAAATATTTACTCTGAACACAAAAAGTCTCCACAGAAATACATAAAAAGAATTGTGCTTCTGCAGTATCAAAAATGATCTTAGTCGATACATCATGAAAGTCTTAATTGATCGATGTACTGATTCATTGATTATTTTACTGCATTAATTTACATATAACTAAAAATACCTTAGATGAGGAAAGAGAAGGAAAAAAACTTCTGTTGCACAACTTGGAACAGTAACTTTTTTCAAATTACACTTCCCAGAATGCCCATGGAAGGTGTCACAAAAATATTATTACTATTACTATTACTATTACTATTACTCGAAGCCGCAAGTGGTGCAATGGGTTAAACCCTTGTGCCGGTTGAACTGCTGACCTGAAGGTCAGTGGTTCAAATCCACGAGATGGTTGAAGACGTATTTCAATATTACTGTCTATGTGCATTTTACATTCCAACATTCCCATCTGTTAGCTCCAGGTTCCTATGCGGGGACACGAGAAAAGGGTCTCACAGGATCTGCGCATCCACTGGGCAATGTCTCTGCAGACGGCCAATTCTTTCACGCCAGAAATGACTTGCAGTTTCTCAAGTCACTTCTGACATGATTGAAAAAAAATATTATTACTATTGTTATTATTATTTCTATTTTGCTTTATCTCTCTAAAAAGAATCCCATAACTGCTCAGAACACTAAAAACAATACAAGTAATTTATCTTTTGGTTTTATATAGTGAATGAATATTTCATGGCACATTTGGAATTCTTTCTATGAAAGAGAAAAACAGGAATGCCTTTCCTAAGAAGGCACCTATTGTGCACAATTTTATGAATATTTGTTTTTAATACATTAATTTTAATATAGTTAAAATATAACTTGAAAATCATCTCTTTAATGACCACTCAGAGATGGTCTTTTTGTCAATTAAAATGAGCTTCAAGGATTTAAAAGCTGTTCAGTAGTGGAACTCTCTGCTCCGGAGTGTGGTGGAAGCTCCTTCTTTGGAGAATTTTAAGCAGAGGCTGGATGGCCATCTGTTGGGGGTGCTGTGAATGCAATTTTCCTGCTTCTTGGCAGGGGGTTGGACTGGATGCACCATGAGGTCTCTTCCAACACTATGATTCTATGATTCTATTATTCATTCTAGCTGATTTGGAAGGAACGAAGGAACAAAGAAAAGAAAATAGTTATGGCTGCATCTACACTGCAGAATTGATGCAGTTTGACATCACTTCAATTGCCATGATTCAGTGGTGTGGAATCCTGGGATCTGTAGTTTGATGAGCCACCAGCTCTCTTTGGCAGAGAAGTAGAGACCTTGAAAAATTAAAGTTCCCATGATATGAATGAACAATTTCTATTAGCTCACTCTCTACAGTGCTAAAAAATGCATTGGGGAGGCAGAATTCTTATTTGGGGTGTATCCCTGTAAATATCACACAGAGTCACCCTAGATTAAAATTGAGTAACCATGGTTGAGGACATACTTCAATATTACTGTCTATGTACATTTTACATTCCAACAGAATTCTACAAGCATTCTAATGCACAGGAAAATAATTGAGTTGCAGTTGGTTTTCCGCAAAGACAAAACAAAGCCAAGCTTTGTGAAGAAAAGCATTTAAAACTCTTTTTTCTTTCCAAAATTACATTTTCCACTATGCTCACCTTAATTGACTTGATGGCGAAAGTAGGAACATTATTTTTGTTTTAACCACTATTTTAAGTGAATTGTGCTTGTGTGTGTTTGTTGTTCTCCATCACAAATACACTGGCAAGTCAAAGGTAACGGCAAAAGTTTCCCCTGACATTAAGTCTAGTCATGTCCATTCTAGGGGGTGGTGCTCATCTCCATTTCTAAGCCGAAGAGCCGGTGTTGTCTGTAGACATCTCCAAGGTCATGTGGCCAGCATGACTGCATGAAGCGCCATTACTTTCCCACAGAAACGGTACCTACTGATCTATACATGCTTGCATGTTTTCAACTTGCTAGGTTGGCAAGTCTAATGAAGGCTTTAACAGCAATTTAATTCACCAGATCTTTGCTCCACAAGATTTATACAGTACTTGGCAAACATCCTGTAGTTTGGAGGAAAGACTCATGGGTAGGAAGCAAACTACACATGGGAGGAATACAACAGACTACAGTCTCCGTGTAAGGACAAGAAGAAGACAGACTCTTAAGATAATAGCATGTGAAGGTGCATCTACACTCTGAAATTAATGCACTTTAACTGCTATGGCTCAATGCTTTGGAATTCTGGGGGTTGTAGTTTTTCATATGTTCTCTGCCAAAGAGTGCGGATCCCTTACAAAACTACCTCATGAATTCTTAAGATTAAGCCATAGCAGTTAAATTGCATTAATTCTAAAGTGTGGATACCGCCTACTGTTTAAGGTTCTTTTCTCTGGACTGGACAGAAATTCTGTTGTTGCTTAGAGTGTTATAGGACATCCCTCTACCTGTGTGCAACCTTTTTTGTTTCAAAATAAATCCAATTATGACAAAATGTCTCATGCCTCCAATTACTTTGTGAAGGACACCAAACCCAAGAAAGTTTTGTGTCCTTGGAACAAATTCCAAAGCCATAAACTAGAATGACTGTTTTTTTTTAAGTAACCCTAAATCAAGCCAAGCCAATGAAATAAATGATGAAGTCATCAATGAAAAATACATCCAAAAGTCAGATGGTCTTTACCTTCTGGAGGAGTTGCAATACTGCCACCAAGCCCTAGAATAGCAAGGCTATGGTTACGTGGTTCCACCATTACTGCTGACTCCTCTCCTCTTTCCCAATGGGGTATTTTTACTTGCTCCAAGTGTACATTTTCCAGCCCATCATTCTTCAAGGCCTTATACATATACTGGATTGCCAGCTCTAGACTTTTGGAGCCACTCAGCCTTGGGCCAATGGTGTCCACAAAAAGTGCCAGTCTTTCATAGGATCTGTTCTGGGCCTTTCCATAAACAGCAAGATTGATAATCTTCTTGGCAATTTCTGAATAGTCACCTATTTCCCTCTTAATGTCTTCAAATGGTCTTGGGTTGTTACTCAGTCGATTCCCTTTGTTTTGATCAAACATGTACATTAAGACGATCAAAAAGAGGAGCTTCATTTTTCTCTGCTCTGAATTTGCTTCTTAATCTGTAGGAGGGAAACACAAAAACAAAACTAAGTTATAAAGCTATTCAGCAGTTTTCTAATTTTTTGAGTGTGACACGCTGTGAAAAGATGAAAACCAATGCAAGCAAGTGTTGTCATGTGAAAATGGAGTGACAGAAAAGTCACAGAGTGACCAAAAAGTAGAGCCAATGTGTGAATATTCATTATCGAAGCCAAATCAGAAAGAAAACAGAAAGAGATCCCCGCTTTTTGTCCTCTACTACATACTAGAAGCCAGGCCTGTAGCGAAGGGGGGGGGGGTTAGGGGTTCAACCTCCTCCTCCCAAAATGTTTCAGATTTTTTAAAAAACCTGGTTTATTCATGAATTTTAACTGGTTAACCAAATCCCCATGCTAAGTCTATGAAATGCAAAAAATTAAGAGTCCCTCCAGAATTGCAAGCACTATCTCAGGCAAATATTGACAATTTATTCACACTGTCATTATTTGCAGCAATAGCCGATGTAGTGAAGCAACCAAGTTGGGGGGAGGGGGTGTTGAATGCTCTCATTAAAGAGGCCAGACTTGGTGGAGGTGGTTGACAGGGGCGGAACTGCAGGCTATTGAAGGCTGCTCTGCCCCCTGCTGTGCTCTTTGCTTCAGCGTGAGCTAGGAGGCAGGTTACAACCCCACCCCGTGAAATTTTCAAACCCCCCCCCCAAAAAAATTTCAGCCCCTCCCGAAAAGGTTTTCTGGCTACGGCCCTGCTAGAAGCACACCAAGCTCAATTTTGCATATAGGATCTCATCATTTGCCCTGCATTGTGGTGAATCCATGGCCTCTGGTGGGGGGTGTGGAGAACCCTTCACTTCACACCCCACATCACCCACTTTACCATGCTCCCATCCCATGGACATGCTGGAAGGCAACACGCAAAGGCTCCTTTCTCAGCTTGGAGCCCGGCCAGTAGTGCCTGTGTGTCATGGGAAGGACTCCGTGCTGAAAGTGGAGGAGAAACAGTGTACGATGGGCAAATGAGGCCATGTGATAAAGTAGTATGTCCTCACCCCATCCCAAATTTGAAAAAGATATTTACATTTTGGGCCCCAAATTTCCCAACATACCATAAGTGGGAAGAGGGTTGGTAAAAACCACATAACATTTAGGGGACATTTTTTTCAGTAGTTCCTTCACAAATTCATATTCTCCAGCATTTCATTGATGACAGTTGGAACACATGTAGTTAAGGAACATCAGAGTGCAGCCAAGAACACAAAAGTTATTAATAAGGAAGAGCATACAAGCCAGGAAAGGCTGCAGCAGTTTGCTTTCATCTGAGTTGACTGGGAAGCACAAGATCCAACTCTTTTGTATCCTCTTCTCCTGCTGAGTTGGTCAAGTCCAAACTCTTTGTGTCATTTGAATTTAGTTTGCAGCAACTGCAGTCAATTGAAAACAAAAGGGAAGAACAGAAGAGAGAAACTCTCCCCAGCCCTTTATAGTATCCAACTCAGATGTAGCATCATGCTTAGATGCCTTTGGTCCAAAGTTAGTGACAGTACAACTGCATTAACATAAAAAGTGAATATAATTCAGGCTACTAAATTAATACATTCATTACGTTATTAATTAAAACATTAAATCTAGTCACTAAATTAAAAATATTACTTCAAATTCCACAAAATGGCCATTGTTACAAAAACAAGAAACATTAGCCATTACAATAAAAATGGCAACAATTAAAATGACAAAAAGACTATTTGGGAGGAGGGGGGCAAAGGTAATGAACTGACAATAGCAAATTAACTTCAATTAATTATTTCCAAATTGCGTGACCTCAACGCTTCTTCTGCCCAACTGCCTGAGCTCTGTGCTTGGACTTGGCTCCTGATGCATTTCTTATTGCTAGGATTCACCCCATGGGTTGATGGTTCTTGGAAACAGGGGTTCCGCCCTAGAGAGCAAAACTTTACTTAAATTCATATTTGACTCATAAACATTACTAGAGACTTGTCTGAAGTTGAGGGATTATATAAGTGAATACTGTTGGGAGGTTTTTTGGGGGGTGGCGGCAGCTAGTGACATGTAAATGATCATCCCACTCTGCTCTCTGACACTGAATTTTTGCATTTGGGGGGGAGAGGGAAAAGAGGAGGAGGAGGAGGAGGAGGAGAGAGAATTAGGCTTCAAGCAATAACCAGCCATTTGTCAAGATTACAGTACATAATATGTTGTTTCAAGAACTGCTTGATTCAATTTATTTCAGGGAAGGGTTCCCTTAAGTACATATGAGTTCTCTTGAGGCCATGAAAACCAGAGAGGGCTGCTGTATGTTTAAAGGTTGTCCATAACAGGGAAATTCAGCCAGTCCTCCTGAAATTTCCTCTCTCATACAACCATTAAAGCAGTGGTTCTCAACCTTCCAAATGTCATGATCCCTTAATAGAGTTCTTCATGACTCTCAGCCATTATTTTTTTTTTCATTGCTACTTCACAGCTATAATTTTGCTACTGTTATGAATCGTGATGTAAATATCTGATATGCAGGATGTATTTTCATTCACTGGACCAAATTTGGCACAAATACCCAATAAGTCCAAATTTGAATACTGGTGGGGTTGGGGGAGATTGATTTTGTCATTTTTGTCATGCTGGTTGCGCAACATGGTTCTGAATTAGAGAAGGGAACATGTGCGCGAGATAGCACACCGCGTGAGAGACGCAGCTGCGGCAGGATATCAGTGAAGTAATGTAACGCAGGCGGGACAGGATAACAGTGAAGTAATGTAAGAGTGACTGGATTTCATTCATTTTTCACTACTACTCGTATTTCTTCTCTCCTTTTTATCCTTCCTTCCAATGCAACAACATTTTGAACATATTTGCATAGATCTCCAGATAGCCTACATCAGTATGCTTGGCTGTCCCCCCCCCCCCCCAACTCTGTTGTAGCTGCGTCTCTCACTGCGTGCAGTCTCTCGTGCACATGGTGCCGTGTCTGGCGCATGTGTCCCTTCTCTAATTCAGAGCCGCGTTATGCAACCAGTGTAGCGCTACCAGCACTGGGTCCCAGCTATCATACTTTTGCCGCAGATATTGTGGGTTACCCTGCCTTGATATTCTGAGTTATATGGCTGTGTGGAAGGGCCCTAACTTGACTACTCTATGCAGAGCCTTCCTCTATTATGTCTGCTTCTAAATATCCTCAATTAGTTTTATGCTCTGTATTCTCTTTCAGAACTTTCAATCATCTTAAATTATCTGTCAGAAATAATCTATTGGAATCTAGAACTCTTTGAAATACTTATAAGGATCTTTTTCCAATGGAAAACATGACAAAGAATTAAGATGCCGAATGAATGTCAAATAGTCTTCATTGTTAGACATAAAAGAGAACACAACCATTACCCTTGCCTTTTAATGCTCACCAAGCTGCAATTAGGATACTAAATATTACACTCATGCATGTTGAAATGGTATGAGGGAAATAAAAGAAACCTATAGGTGTCTGTAAATAATTATTTAAGAGGATTTTGAACAATAGGATCTCATGCTATAACTCCTCATTTTCTGCAAAAACTTAACACAGCCTTCTCTGTTTCTGGTAGCCTTATAAGCTCTTATTAAGAGCTAATTATAATTGTCATAAGAATAAAGCAGGCTTATCTTTAAAGAACTAATCCCAGATGCTAAATTGAACTTTTATTCTACAAAGAATAATATTTTCAGCATCAAGTTGTTCCATGCGGAGGTGGACTGCTAATTAGTTCATGTTTTTTTTTTCCTAAACTACTTTGAAATTTCAGGGCTTTTTCAAGTCTATTGCATTTTGAGATATTTTTCTTTTTAATCGACTACAGGGTACAATCCACTGGGAATGGGTCTAACGCTGGAACAAGCTCTATCAAACTGAACATGACCTATGCAAAAGCTCTGCTTTGGACACCCAAGAGACTTGTCTGGCAGCAGAATGGCAAAAGAAGAGGCATAAACTCTTGTTGTCTCTTGACCCCTGGCTGTTTCATTTAGCTTCCATACCAATGTTTATAGATTCATTATCTTAATGGTGTCATGTAGAATACTTCAACTTCAAACCCAGGGTTTTGAGTTAACCAAGAGAAGAGAGAGGGAAGTGTATGGTTGGATCAAAATGTGCAGTGTTATTCCAAAAGAGAAGAATTCAATGAGTTCCAGTTGCTGGGTCTGCAAGATTCTTACAGCGTTTCTCAACCTGGGGATTGGGACCCCTGGGGGGGGCAACAACGGGGGTGTCAGAGGGGTCACCAAAGACCATCAGAAAACACAGTATTTTCTGTTGGTCATGGGGGCTCTGTGTGGCCCAATTCTATCATGGGTGGAATTCAGAATCCTCTTTGATTGTAGGTGAACTATAAATCCCAACAACTACAACTCCCAAATGTCAAGATCTATGTTCCCCAAACTCCACCAGTGTTCACATTTGAGCATATTGAGGATTCATGCCAAGTTTGATCAGATCCATCATTGTTTGAGTCCACAGTACTCTCTGGATGTAGGTGAACTACAACTCCAAAACTCAAGGTCAATGCCCACCAGACCACTCCAGTATTTTCTATTGTTCATGGGAGTTCTGTGTGCAAAGTTTGAACATCGTTGGTGGTGTTCAGAATGCTCTTTGATTTTAGGTTAACTATAAATCCTAGCAACTACAACTCTCAAATGACAAAATCAATCCGCCAGCCCCAGCCCCACCCGCACAGTATTCAAATCTGGACGTATTGGGTATTTGTGCCAAAATTGGTCCATTGAATCAAAATATATCCTGCATATCAGGTATTTACATGACGATTCATAACAGTAGCAAAATGACAGTTGTGAAGTAGCAACAAAACTTTATGGTTGGGGGTCACCACAACTTGAGGAACTGTATTAAGGGGTCATGGAATTAGGAAGGTTGAGAAGCACTATCTTATTTTGTGTTAGGTATTTTAATATGCCGTTGTGGGGCATTAAAGACCTGTCTCAGTGGTGTCCCCTCCAACCCAATGGGGGCTTTTGTTAGC